CTTAACATCAAATAAAAAGTTTTGTATCAAGTGGCTTGTAATCCACTGGTATTAGGTTGTTCCCCTAAGTAAGAGGTGTAAGGTTCAAACGTCAGTTGAGGTAAATAGTGTGTAGTAGGGTATATCCCCTTTTCCTTAAATAAATAAAAAGTTTTGTCAATCATTTTGTCACCAAATTTTTTCATAATTAACGGATATTCATTTTACTAATATTTCAAAATTTGGGAGATAAAAACAAAAACCAAAGACGAATTAAACATTCAACATTAATTTTTGTCAATTTCAAAACTAATCATTTAAAATTTTAAACTAGCAAATGTACATCTTAAAAATGTAAATAAATAATTAAAACACACAATAAATCACTAATTAATTAATTAACATAACTAATAAAATCAAAGCATATATCTCTGATTTGGAGATTTTTTAAAATTAAAATGTATACTTGATGCTCTTCATTATTAAAATCTTGATAAAAGAAATAAGATAATAAAGAAAATTTGTGACTTTAATTATTTGATTTATTTCTTTTTATTTAATGAAAAATAGTGAACTTTAATATATAGTTTGAGTTCATTTAATATAAACATAATAGATTGTTTTATTTAAAAAAAAAAAAAAATTAGAGGGGGGCCAAAAGTATATTTTATCTCTACTATATCAATATATACATACATATTTGCTAAAACATTTAGGGTGAGGGTTGGGGTGGAGGTGGAGTGGGAGGGGGAGGGGGGGCAGGGGCCCCCAACCCCATAACGTAGCTCCGTCACTGATCTCACTAGAAACAACCAGCTCTCTAACTTTATGGAACCTTACATCAGTATACTTGGTTCTGACATGATATACTCAATTTTTAGTCAAAAAGATGATACCTTAAGTGTCACAATGTAATTGAATTCCAACTTACCAATACTCAATTCCTTAATCAAACCTAAAAGTCACAAAGTCTCTTTAGCTGCCTCAGTCACAAGTCACAACCATGTATTCTGTTTTAGTTGTAGACAAAGTTAAAACATACTGAAGTGATTACCTCTAACAAACAAGACCACCACCAAGAGTAAAGACATATCCTATTGTAGAACATATGTTATCTATATCACTAGCAATATCAGTATCCACATATCCCATGAGTACATGCTTACTCTGTTGATTCCCAAAGTGCCCCTTAAGTGCATGAATACAATACTATGCCCCATAGTGCCCCTTAAGTACATGAAAATCCACTTAACTGCCTCCTAGTTGCTTCCCAAGTGTAGATATATACTTACTAACTTGGCTAACAACATGAGCCAACTCATATCAACGTACAAACCATCACATATATTAAGCATCCAAATGTCTTAGCATAAGGAACTTTTGACATATCTTCAATCTCACTAACTGTACTATTGGGAAGAGAGAGAGAGAGTGTGTGTGTGTGCGCGTGTTTTTTTTTTTTAGATTTTTATTCATGAAAAATAGGTTTTGTATGACCCCATTAATTGAGAAGAAATAGGGAAAAAAACATATTGCAGGTGCGTGTTAGGCACACTTGTTGTGCTTAACTGTCGAAGCTAGGCGCATAAATATTAAATTTTTTATTTTTTTTTTGTAGTCAGTTTTTTTTTTTTTTTTTTTGTCGTCTTTTTCTCCCTTGTTTTTCTCTTCCCTCCCCTCTCCCTTTCTTTCATGTAACTAACAAAAACCAACTCAAAAACCTAAGAACATTACCATTAGTAGATTTTTTTTAAAAAAAAAAATTGTGGAGCCAAATGTGAGGTGGAAGAGAGAGAAAGAGCTGAGAAGGTTTGAGGTGCTTGCAGTAGGAGTTGGTTTTTTGTTTCCAGAATGGGCCCTGTTGGTTTTAAGGCTTTGGATAGCTGTTCGGCGGGCCAACACTACCGTAAATACTTAGGGTTTTGTGGTTTGAAAACAAAATGCAAGAGAGAATGAATAATGCGATATTATTCTTCTAGGATTTCGACCGTTTACATGGTGATCCTGTGGGGATATTTATAAAAGAATGCGAGATTCCTACAAGAAAAGTAGGGCTGACGTGGAGCCAGATCAGTTAAGGAATCCGGCTTCATTAATGCTATAAATACCTAAACTAGCGAAGGAAACTGTTCGTATTAAATGAGGAAAGAGATCTTGCGAAATCTGCTTATTCCCGCTTTTGGACGAGCACCCAGTCGGGAACGCCATGACTGCCTGAGAGATGACCCGAGAAGGGGTCGCGATACTCGGGCAAGGACACATCCACCGCTGAGCCTAGTCGCCCAGCTGAGTCCCCAAGCTGTACCCGGTCGAGGACACACCGCCTACTGAGCCCGGTCGCCCATTCGAATCCCGAGAGGGGATCCGGTCGGGGACACGCTGACTACCGAGACTGGTTGCCCAACCGAGTTCCATGCGCGGACCCAGCCGAGGACACACCGGCTATAGAGCCTGGTCGCTTCACCTGAGCCGGCCAACTTCCATCCAGGTATGCGCCTGTTAGATGGATGACTGATTGCCAAGGATGAAGTGTTACGATCTCCCAGGCGTTTCACGTGACGAACGGGAATCGGGGGTGTCATCTAATTTGCTAAGTATCAGGCCACACTCAAACTTGACAGCCTTATCTCATACTCCAAACCAGGTGTCCGATTTGGGGGTATCTATCACCAGTCCCTCACTTTTTCAGATCTAGTCGAGCAGTGATTTGAAAAAGTAGAAAACGTGCACTGAGGCAACCCGACCACCTTGTTGTCTTTGTTCGGATAGGCCAACTGGCACCCTATCGGGAGTCTTTTCTCTCAAAGACTGATTCCACTTTTCCCGACTGGTTCCATGAAGCGGTACGGCTGTTGTAGTGTAATTATGGCGATCCCTCGAATTTCACCGGTTACAGTTTCGAGACACGCCTTCCATAATCGTCATGTCAAACGTTACGTCACTCCCCCTCCCCCCCCCCCTCCCTGTCCGATCGAGGACTCGTGTCACGATCTCGTCGGTCGACCAAGCCTATAAATATCCCACACGCCTACCCTTCATTTCTTCCTTCTTATGAACTTCTTCCACCTAGTAGCTCTCATCTTCTCAGGCGTCTCTTCGTCTCTAAAGCCCCCTTTTCTTTTTGACGGCCAGCATCATTTCCTCCTCCGCTTCGATTTCATTTTACTCCGCCCGTCAGTTCTTTCAGGTTATTAGCTTCTCCTTATCCCTCTTCTTTTTCCAGCGTTCCTTTTCTTTCTTTCCGTCAGCCCATATGTCCTCCTCCCAACCTCCTTCATCTTCTGCCGCCATTGACCACCAAGGTCAAACGGCGAGCCCTCCTGTAACACCCCACTTTTCTTAATCTTAATTACAATTCTAAAACCAAAATTAATATAAACTAAGCAGCGGATAAACAACTTAATAAATAAACTAGTGGGTATGTCACCGCCACAACCACCACTCTATGGTGATTGCACAGGCTAAGGATGGAACCAAATCAATAAACCAAACTAACATTCATATTACTTAACTTAAAGTCATATGGGGGAAAACACCCTGATGTCTAATCATCAAACTTGAACATCATAAGTCTACAAATCCATCAAAATAAACAACATGATAATAATAAGAGTTTAGACTACTAGATCTACTAAGCTAGTCTAACTCGATCATCTCTCAAACGCTGGGCCCACCTGAAAGGGGTTTTGCAAAACAACACATAGACAAGTAGGAAAACACCCATTAGCACGAAGCTAAGTATAACCACACTCAACCCTGTAAAGTACTACAGTATATATACTTAGGAAAAACATTTGTTTTGTAAGTTAGCATATTACTTAGTTAGTCAACTTATTTAGTTTATTTCCTATACTATAAATAATATGTTATCCTATAAAAAGGAAACCAATTCTAATGAAAAGCAATTCTAAGAAAATTAGGGAGTTCTGGCCTCTTCTGGGCCTGAAGAAAACCCTATAGCAAACAATTACTCATCTGCATAGCATGTCGCCCTGAACTTTGACTACTTTAGCAACACCCAACAAGCAATTACTCTGATCTATACACTTCTCTTCTTCCTTCTGCTGTTAGTACCGCGCAACTAGGTAATGTTGGTGCTGCTCTAAGCCTCGCTCACGTTACTATCTTCGACTTCTCTATCTATCTATAAATAGGGGGTGAAAGATTACAATGTTCACCTTACTTAGCTTCTCTAAGCCTCGCTCACATTACTTCTGTACGGGAAAGAGGTGGTGAGTAAACGGGTGTAAAATTGTCGTTCCTCTAGGGATTGAGATTATGGCACGTACTTGAGTTATAACTAAAATCCTAGGCACTGTTAAGAGTGTCACACATTGATAAAATAAGTGAGAGCATTGGTTTAGAAATATGTTCTGATACCATGTTATAAATTAAGATTGGGCTAGGGTCAGTCATGGGTCAAACCACACTAAAAGATTGAATTCAACCAATTAGCTAGTCTAACCCATAGACTTATAAAGTCATATGCTCTCACTTATTTTATCAATGTGGGACACTCTTAACAAGCACCGAAGTATTGGAACCCACAAGAATCCAAGCAGAAACCCCTCCCTCTTCTCCTCTCTTGCGTGAAAGATCTACCCAGAAAGACCATCATTTGCTCTCAATTTCTTCTTAATATCAAACAAGCAAGGTGTGAATTTATCATTCTTTTCTTAAACTTAGCAGTTGGTTCGAATTTTTCCATTAAGTTCACTAAGTTTGTGCTTTAATTTCTATAATTTTGGAACTCTTGTTTTGATGTGCAAAGTTTCATTTCTAGCATATTCATGTTCTATTCGTTCTCTATTCATGCTTATATGCTATTGTTTTGCTTCTATGTTGTGTACATTGGTATTTTTGAGTGAAATTCTTGAAACTCTACATTGTTTTTCATGTCTCTTTGTCAAAATCTTGTTTCAAGAATTGATTTGAGGCTTCTTTTTTTTTTTTTTTTTTTTTTTTTTTTTTTTTTACTGTTTCTATAGTTTTTTTTATATATAAAAATTAAAAATGCTTACCTGGAATTAGGGATGGCAATTCAACCCGCCCCCGATAGGGAAAATCGATCCCCGCCCCGACGGGGGCGGGTTCGGGGAATTTTTTCGGGGAACGGGGGCGGGGATGGGGAGAATTTCCCCATCCCCGCCGGGGACGGGGACGGGGACGGGGAGGGCATCCCCCGCCGGCCCGACCCCGATCCCCGATCCCCGTCCCCGTCCCCGATTCCCCGAATAAATTTATTAAACCTTGAGTGCCAGAAATGCACACTTGTTCTGGTGCTTCTATGAGACACTACATATAGTGATTAGTTTAATGTTTCTAAGTGGATATATATTATTTTGTTTTGAAAACAGTCGAAATATTTTCTAGTTGAAAGCAGCAGCAAATTTGTATTTCATTCTTGAATGGTCCAGAGCTTGAATAATTGCCATTTAAAGAATCTAGTATTTCCAAGATACGCTATGTAGAATTCGCTGGACCTAATGGCTATCTGATTGGTTAGGCACATTATGACATTATATCCTTTAATTACCTATTGTGAACACATAAATAATGAAATTGGCCTAAATATTAAGAATTAAAAAAAATTTAAAAAAAAAAAAAAAAACTGGGCGGGGAATCCCCGTCCCCGAAAAATCCCCGCGGGGACGGGGATGGGGATATTTCCCCATCCCCGATCAGGGAACGGGGCGGGGACGGGGAATGGGGATTCAATTCGGGGACGGGGACGGGGACCCCACTCCCCGGCCCCGCCCCGCCCCGTTGCCATCCCTACCTGGAATGGCACTTGAGGCTTTTTTAACCGTTAATATTTTATTAAGTGGTTATTGTTAATTTATATAAAAAGGTTGCATCCCAACTTCTCTTCTTCTGCTGCTAATGGTGGTGGCCTTACTGGATGAGGGTACGACCATGGCGCCAGCCATAGTGCCAGACATGGATCTCACCTTGCTGAACATTTGGCTTACCATGGGCATAGTGGTGGAATGCTAATGGTACAGTTTTTCGTGATGTTATGCTCTATTAGGTACAGCTCGTCCAGGCGGGTGGGTAACGAGGCCAGAGACAGTGAGGACCTCAAGGCCGGGGACGGTGGGGACCTCGACGCCGGCAATGGCAACGACGGGTAGATTTGGGTGCTCTCCCTTCTAGGGCCGGTTTTTAGATTTTTGTGGCCCTATTCGGGTAAATAAATAAGGCCCTACCAAAATTAAAATCTTTAAAACTAATACCGTAATTTTATTATCTAAATATATAACAAAAAAAAAATATCCGTGCATTGCACGCACATTGCACGTGCACTGCACGGATAATTGGGCAATTATTTGCTCGAATTCAAGAAAGGATAACATAAAAAAACATAATCGATACAACCCATTTCATCAATTGCACTATATAATATTCGTTGTTATAATTTAAAGATTATAACAAATCTTTTTCGTGCAACGCACATATAAAAATAAACATATTATGGAATAATAATAATAGTGTGCACAAGTTTTGAACCTTAGACCTCAAAGTTAAAATACAATAAATACAGAGTTTTTACCCATTTTGGTCCATTGACTATGACTCATTCTCAATTTTGCATTCCAACTTTTAATTGCACCCAATGTGGTCCCTTGACTTTTTAAAATTACCCCAATTTAGTCCTCCGTTACATTTTCCATCAATTAGGCGTTAAGTTGGGGGTATTTTGGTCCATTCATATGCTGCGCGCCCAACTCTCTTCTTTTCTCTCTGAGCTACCCCCACTTCGATCTCTCTCCAAACAGCTCACCCAGTAATAATCCTCGGAGGGAGATGAAACTAGATTTTGTTTTAGGTTTGAAGTAGAGAACATTGAAACAGGAATTTTTGTGTTGTATTTCTGGTTTTGGTTTTTTTTTTTTTTTTTTTTTTTTTTTTGGTGTGCTTTAATGGCTGACAACAGCTATGATGACCCTGTAGCTTCAAGCCTACTCTGTGCAGAGACGAATAGCCCGTGGTTTAATGATTCTGATTCTTCGGCAAAGGATGAAGCTGCAGCAGCAGCAGCCCAAGAATCCAATGGTGATAAAGGCTTGATCTTTGGGGGTGGAAGATCAGAGCCATTGATGGGGGTGCCTAGTCTGAGTGAGGAAAGCTTTAGTTTCATGGTGGAAAAGGAGATGCAGCATTTGCCTAGAGAGGGGTATCTGAAGAGATTGAGAGGTGGGGACTTAGAGAGTTGAGTTTGAGAACAGAGGGCATTGACTGGATTTGGAAGGTGATCTGAGTTCATTAAATTAAATGTATTTCACTTTCACTGTGTGTTATTTGAAGATTGTATAAGCTAATCATTCTTATTATATTTTTTTACATTCGACGACATTCAGGTTCATTCCTATTTTGGGTTGGAGACACTAGTCTGTGCCTAGCAATAAGTTACTTGAGTCAGCATCATCTAATTGGGAGAGCTTCTGAAGCGCTTCGGCTCTACAAGCAAATAGCTGTAAATTCAATTTAACAAAATCAGATAGCACTGAAAACCTTTCCATGAATCACGTTTACCGAAAATGCTACGCTTTGAGCAACACCCTTACCTGAGGAGATGCATCGGCTCTGACGGAGGAAAAGGCAGTTGGTTTCTAATTTATGATTTGGGGCTTTTCTCTAATACTCAACGTAGTGTAATAAAATGGACGGAGGAAAACGCAGTTGGTGAAGGCGCGCAACATATGAATGGACCAAAATATACCCCAACTTAACGCCTAATTGATGGAAAATGTAACAGAGGACCAAATTGGGGTAATTTTAAAAAGTCAAGGGACCACATTGGGTGCAATTAAAAGTCAGAATGCAAAATTGAGAATGAGCCATAGTCAAGGGATCAAAATGGGTAAAAACTCATAAATACATGTTCCTACTATTTCTTTATAAAGCCTTTTAAGTTAATTAAAAACTTTTAATTTTTATTTCTAAACTAACTAGGTAAAAACATTATATTAATTAGTTCAAGGTGGAATTTAGTACCAAAGAATAATAACATAGTCATCTAAACGAAATAAAAGTAAAAGGTGGTTAAAAAAAAGTATAATAAATAATAATCGTAACGATGCAATATGAGAAGTTCATAAATAGCTAGTACTAATCATTGTAATGATGCAATATTCGTTACTCGACCTTCTATACTTATAAACAATATGTACATTTACCCAACTGATGATTTGATATAATTGTCATTATATTATCAAAAGTATTTTTAAACTTTATATTATCACCTGTGATAATAAATTGTCATTATATTATTGGTAATAAAATAAAATGTGGTGTGCAAAGTTTGATAGAAAAAAAAAAGTAAAAAATTGTATCTGAGAGGGAGTACGACGTACTGCGGCCAAGTCATGGACATAAATAAGGTAATGTTGGTGCTCGTTCACGTTATCCTATGTGAAGATCAGAGAGGCAATGTTGTTTCGACCAAGACAAAGTAACACCCTCCAATAATTTGTGGACCAACCTCCATCAATATAATTCTCTCTAGCCTAGATATTTTCTTCTTTTATGGCTTCATATAGTACGCAACGGAAGAAACATTTTGAGCAAGCTTTTGGCTCCTGTGCTTACATTAATAATTTAGGAAAAAAAATGCTATAAGTATATAACTCAAGAGAAAAAAGTGCTAATTTTCCTCTTTTTTTTTTTGTTCTAAATACAAAATTAGGGTTGATATATTATATGGTTGTTTAAATTGTTCTTGTGGAATTTGACCATTGCTTCGGTGGTTATTCTTATTTGAAAAATTATATGGTTGTTGCTTCAATACTTAAATATTAAGTAGTGGTGAATTCTTGCAATATTAAGTAATAATGAAAAATAATACTGTTGGTTCAACGGCTTAATATATATTAAGTAGTAATGGTAAATTCATTTTTATTTCAAGAAAATCATACCGTTGCCTGATCTCCAACGGCTAGATGTTAATTAAGAACGTAATGGATGACGATCGAAAATATATAATTCAGGCAATTTGTTGATCTCCCATGCCCCACACACATTAATATAAAAACGGCTGAGTTATTGATGACTATCTGATCGAATGTCTTATATATATACCCTTGAATTGGATCTTTAATTTGCTAAATTAACTCTAAGCGAGCTGAGTGAGGATGTGTCCACCCCCAAATGCAAATCTGCCTAACCAATTTGCAACTTCGTCCCCAACACTACCACTCCAAGGTGGTTCCCCATCATCGTCTGTTTCACATGCCCAATCCAAAAACGCCAAACGTAGGCGTGGCCCTACCTTCCCTTTGCCAAAACCTAGCTACTATAACCTAGACCCTAATGTGGCTCACACCATAAAGCCAAGAATTTCCCTTTTACACCTTTATAAAGCCAAACAACTTTTAGGACCAAACGTTGTGATTATCAACGTGAATCCTGAAATCTCGATCGCTGATCATTGCTCTGTCGATGCCAATTCCTTAGAAGTAGGTGTGCATTACGACTCAATCAAGTGCGGCCTTCGCTTTCCTCTACAGCCGTTCATCCCAGAATTTCTGAATACCCATAAAATTATACCAGCTCAATTAGCACCTAATGGGTACAAATTTCTAGTCGTTTTTCTGAATGTTTGTAAGGAATGCGATATTCCTCCGTCTCAGTCTCTCTTCCATTACTTGTTCAGTGTTGAATCTGGCACACGGGCTGAAAACCAGAGCTTTGTCACCATCTCCTCTCGTCGTGGTCTTAAATTTGTGACGGACCTTCCCTCCCCCCACAGTGGTTGGAAAGAAAGGTTTTTCAAAGTGCGACTCCCAGCGTCTTTAATATGTTTCGTTAATGTCTGGGCCACCCGGGTTATACATTTCCCCATGCCGGAAGAAACGCATGAACTCTTGACCCATGCAAAGAAAATAGTCAGTGTTCCTCGCTCCTGTAATTACTATGCCAGTGAGGAGAAAGTTGAGAATCTATATGGGCTTAAAGAAGCTGAAGCTGCACCACCAGAGGTAGTAACCATACCAGCTGATGATGATCTTATGGAGGCCAAACCCGAGATTGATGAGGTTGTGGTGGAATCTACTAAAGAAATGAGTGAGAAAATCAAAGCTTTGGAGGCCCAAATCTTTTTTGCTCGACAAGCTGGGATTGATGACTTCAAGAAGTCCCAAGAATTCCAGCAATCTGCA